GTTAAAGGGGTGTCAAACTGGATTATTTCTGCAGTGCAGATGCAGCCTGTATTATCCACCCCCCACTCTTGCCATTTGGTCTGTTGTGAAGTCCAGTTCCATCACTAGTCAGTTAAGTTATTGGGATGGTGATGGCAGGCTGTGAATGACAACTGCTACTGGCCAGTTCATGTACCAGGAATAAATCAGCACACCAGTCACTTTATACTACCAGTCAAGCCTGAGCCAAGTGTTTTAGCTGTTATCCTCTTTCCCTTTGCTCAGAGGCTTTGTTGTATCAAAGAGTGAATTAATCTGAGCAAAATCAGGGTCTTTTGCTAGTTAAATATGTAATTGACTTGCTTCTGTTTCTTGATACCTGAAACCAACTGCCTAAGGCAGCTGACTCACTCTGCCTAATGACAGGGAGTAATAATTCTGTAAAATTGCCCTTGCCCAGTCCAAGTTTGACTTCTCAAAATTCTACAACCTATTTTCATTCCAGTCCCAAATCCTACCATTCCCCCCCCCACCTCAATTTTCTTTTCTTCTCTATTGCAGGCCTCACCAACACTCCAGGGAAATTCGCCTCCATTTTCAGCTTCGTATGACTTCAGTACAGACAGGCACCAGTCGTCTTCCACTTCATAGCGGCTATAAACAGAGGCTGCAGCGACAAACAGTTAGCATGAGCATGTGTCCCAGGGCCTGAATTTCAGTGGCTTGCAGAGATCAGCTGAGATCGTACATTGTTGCACTGCAGTGTAAATAACCACCTGCAGAGTTACATTCTGCTTGTATTGTGCAATCCCTGTACTTGACACCACCGTAGCACAATGTATATTGAACTCTACTAAATACACCTAGTTGACATCCCACTGCACAATTGCAATGTGCAATGTGATGCACATTGGTATGTGTTCTACACTGGGCCTCTGTGCACTCTGTAGTGAGGCCTCACATCCCATTATGAAAGGAGCAGAGGTCCATTGCAGACCACGTACACCTGCCAAGCATGTATCAGTAGATCTTGCAGATGCCGATTTTCATTTCTATCTCTGCTGTTGCACAATAGCCGATAAAAATACCATACTCTGCCTGAATAACACAATCTAGGCATCCACGTATCACTAAGAGGATGTGTTCCCCTGGTAGCCAGCGGCATGTTAACTCAAGTACAGCTGTCATTGTGGTACATCTAAATATTCTCACTCTTTTTGGAAGAACTTTTATAATTTTATCACATGCACTATTAGTTTTCTTTCAGTTGCCCCAACTATCACTTCCTATGTTATTTATTAAACTGATTATAGCCCACCATTTTCATGGGAGCTAGGTACAGCAAGCATTAAAATCAATTTAAAATAGAATAATAGCCTATTAATTAGACAAGACCCATTTATTTGTCTTTTTGGCAGTCTAGGGCCGTGATGGTGACCCTATGGCACGCGAATCCATACAGAGGGCAGGGAGGAGGAGGAAGAGGCATGCATCTGTTCCTCCTCCTTCCTGGCCTTCCCTAGCCTTTAGCTGCCTCCCTGGAGGCAGGGGATGGCGTGGGGGGAAGAGAAGGAAGAGGTGCGCCACTTCCTCCTCTCTCCGCCCTCTGCATGCTGGGGAAAATGGCTTTGTGTGCCATAGGTTCATCATCACAGCCCTAGACTGCCAAAAAGACAAATAAATGGGTCTTGTCTAATTCAGCTTGTCTCCAGAGGCAGCTGAAGGCCAGGAACAGCACAGGGGAAGGAGGAGGAACAGGTGCGTGCATGTTCCTCTTCCCCCCCACCCCTCCCTGGGCCTTCAGCTGTCTCTGGAGAGGCAACTGAAGGCCTGGGAGGGCAGGGGGGAGAAGTCTCACCCTGGAGGTCCCACCCCGGATGGCAGAAGTCCCACCCTGGCACTGGGTAACACCTAGTGCTGGAAGGCTTTATAGTTTGGGCACTAGGTCCCTAAAAGGTTCGCCATCACTGGTCTAGGGTATCTTGCAGATATGGCATAAAGCAAGGAAAAAGCAAGGAGGAGCAGGACTACCTTGAGTTCATTGGAGGAATGGTGGGATATAAATATAATAAATATATTAAAAAATAAATCTACTTGTTTCCCATTAGCAGTAGCTTGCCAAAATTGCTAAAGAACACATTACCATAGCTATTCATGGTTTTCACTGAGACAGACATAGGGAGTATTGTTTTGCAACTTACTTTCCTCCATGGGTGTAGAAGCTTCTAGCCATTCCCGTACAACTCTCACACCCTCTTCTCCCATAACTTTGGGATACCTGGAGTATGGAAAAGCTAGTTAAAATTGAATCTGAGACTCTTTTGCTCACCACCTTAACCTACTAGGTTTTTGAGTTGGCCTGGATGTCAGGTCTGACATTGATTCACCTTTTCTCCATTATAAGCCAGTTAACATCCAAAATGTGTTCTGATGGAGCCGGTTCTAAAATGCCCATTCAGGGGACTACAATAAAAAGATCTGCTGTCAGGACTGAGTTGTCACCATATCTCTACATAGAGTTGCCACCAAAATTTTATTTTCTGCCTCCTTGACTTTGCCCAGCCAGCCTTTTTGCTGAGTTCCTTTACCTCCATTCAAGAAGAGTCCCAAGTTCAAAAATTCATATTACATTAAATAAATGTAACAAACTGTATTAAATGGTTTAAAACACATCCTCCCTCTGTTCTCATGGACTTGGGAATCTGCGTCCCTTGCTTATCCACAGGAGGCAAACGGAGAGGGACAAGCCCCCGCAGGAGCGTATCTCCATACAAGCCAGTAGGGCTTGAATATATGCGATTTACCATTTTTTGCGGGTGTGTGTGTCCAGAACTGATCCCCCGCGAGAATGGAGGGAGGACTGTACAGGTAGGAACTTCAATATGAGCTTCTTTAAACACTGATTTTAACTGAATACTATTAACTAAAGAAACAGATGTGTTTTCAAATTAAACAACTCACAGAGCCCTTATTTCTATGGTGGAGCCCCTAAAAGGTCTACCCTATGTTTTACAGATTAATAGTGTTTAGTAGTATATATGAATACATTCTTATTCTTTAATTTCATTCAATTGTTATTTCTTTCATTTTCCTGGAGTGGCCACAGAACACCTGGGAAGTGCACGTGAAGATGTAAGGGCTCCATGGAGCACAGGTTGGGAACCCCTGTTCTATGGTATTTAGACTCTATGGCATTTTGTGTAACAGCACCTATATCATGCAGATGGCTCTCTACAGAAGTTAGGTTAACCTCTTCCTTATTTCACTTCAGTTGGTTACAAAGTCCCCATTGTTCCACTGAGACTTTAAGTCAGGGATGGGAATCATGTGGCTTTCCAAATGTTGCTGGATGATCCTTTTGAAGACATCTCAAGAAATCCATTACATAAATCTCTTTTCATTCCAATTTCCCTGACTTTTGATCAACCCAGCATTTTTCATCACTGACCTAGGAATTCTGGGGCAACAATCCAATAATATCTGGAAGGATGCAGGCCACCCACTTCTGCTGTAAATGGTTAATGTCACTCTCTGATCTTGTCATTACTTTCTAGTTCTATTTATTTATTCCTATTAGGTTTTTGTCTGAGGCTGAGGCCTGATGTGTTTTAAAATCCTTTTAAATAGTTTTTTTTAAAACAACAACAAAAACTGTACTTTGCCTAGAGCATTTGATGAGTGGAGTGATTCATAAATATGTTAAAGCAATAATACTATTATTAATAATTCACTCACCGGTGCTGTAGCAATTTCAAAAGC